GAGAGATTATAAACCAAGGTCAGGGTCAGGGCCTCTCTGTTTTGGCTATTGCCTCATTGGAAGCACAGCTAGGAGTAGCTAAGAGGTTTAGGACTGATGCATAGGCCCTTCCCTTCCCTAACTGGCAAGCATACTTTTTACAATACAGTGGTACATTGGGTTACAGACGCTTCAGGTTACAGATGCTTCAGGTTACAGATGCTTCAGGTTACAGACTCCGCTAACCCATAAATAGTACCTCGGGTTAAGAGTTAATTCGTTACTCTGGACATTCTGTACCTGACAGCATCGTAATGGGGGGAGGATATCAGACAGACTATGCATAGTAAACATTACAGGGTAGTAGCCAGCTAAGTTCTTCTCAGAGTAGAACTCATTGAGATGAATGAACCTAAGCTTATCATGTTTATTAATTTCAGCGTGTCTGCTCTGAGTAGGATGAACACTGGGGAGACAACCCAGCGTGTTTTCAACTTGGCCCAGAACTAGGAATCTCTCTGGCTGTGATTGCCATTCTGATGCTGACTTTTCCTGAATGAATTTACTTTATTACGGTCACAGACCAGCATAAGCAAAACATCTAAATAATTAGCATAACAGTATCTCTAAGCAGATAATTATTAAATTAATTGGGAACAAGAACCAAACGTAGATTAAAACATATACATAGAATACTTGATTAAGCATAGGAAATGGATGAATAAAAACCGATAAGGAATTTTAAAGGAGATCAGTTAAAAAAGAACAGCTGTATGGGGTGGGGCTTCAGAAGTGCAGATCTAACAATATGGGCCTTCTATTTAGGACTGATTTGTAGCATAGACCATCCTTTGACAAATATCTATCATGGCAGCGTAAAATTTGGTGACTAGATATGTGACTTCTGGGCTTTTGTTCTGTAGTGATAGGGAGATGTACTGTAGTGTTGTTCTGAACACCCAGGGAAGCATATATAGGATGGGTTGGATAAACCTAGCTCGAATGTCTATGTCAGGCATCCCCAACCTTTGGCACTCCAGATGTTTTGGACTACAGTTCCCATCATCCCTGACCACCTGTTCTGTTAGCTAGGGATCATGGGAGTTGTAGGCCAAAACATCTGGAGAGCTGCAGGTTGGGGGTGCCTGGTCTATGTAATACTGACAATGAAGAAGGGCATGCTCCGTTATTTTCTTCTGCCCAGAGCCCCATGGGCATTTCCTTTCCTCATATGGTATCATCCTATAATGGCCTTCCTTAACTGCTGAAGGGAAGGCCTGACAACGGGTCAAGGTATAAGTCCTTCATTGTTTTGGTATTTCACGATTAGCTATGTATGGCATTTGGGAAGGCTGACTTTTCCTTTTATTTTTTTTAAAGAAGAACTGGTTCCTAGCCCTTATGGTTCTAGGGAGAAATTAGTGTTGCCATATTTCAAACAGTGAAAATCCAGACAGAAAAGTTGTTGAGCTCGGATTTCCCCGGACATCCAAACAATTTCCGCCCAGACACTGCTGCCGACTGCGATGTTCTGGATATGTCCAGGGGATGTTAGGGGTGAGGGAGGTTTCCCTGCACGTGTTTTTCCCTGTTTAGTGAAAGGTTCTTGTGCCTCCTGATGTTTTCTCCTCACATAAGCTCAGCAGCATGAATTGCAAGAAGTGCATATTTCAAAGTGGCTAACTCCACAGGCAGCCCCTTCCTGGTGCTCATGCCTACCCAACACTGATGCCTGTGCCTTCTCCTCACACCTTCTATCTTCACAGATAGAGAGCCAGTGTGGTGTAGTGGTTAAGAGCGGTAGTCTCGTAATCTGGGGAACCGGGTTCGCGTCTCCGCTCCTCCACATGCAGCTGCTGGGTGACCTTGGGCCAGTCACACTTCTTTGAAGTCTCTCAGCCCCACTCACTTCACAGAGTGTTTGTTGTGGGGGAGGAAGGGAAAGGAGAATGTTAGCCGCTTTGAGACTCCTTAAAGGGAGTGAAAGGCGGGATATCAAATCCAAACTCTTCTTCTTCTTCTTCTTCTTCTTCTTCTTCTTCTTCTTCTTCTTCTTCTTCTTCTTCTTCACAACAGCCCAGTGAGGCAGTTTAGACTGAGAAGCAGTGACTAGCCCAAGATCACACCTGGTAAACTTTATGGCTGAGTGGGGGATTGGAACGCTGGTCTCCCAGGCCCTAAAAGGTTAAGGTAAAGGGACCCTTGACCATTAGGTCCAGTCGTGGCTGACTCTGGGGTTGTGGTGCTCATCTCGCTTTACAGGCCGAGGGAGCCGGCGTACAGCTTCCGGGTCATGTGGCCAGCACGACTAAGCCGCTTCTGGTGAACCAAAGCAGTGCATGGAAATGCCATTTATCTTCCCGTTGGAGCGGTACCTATTTATCTATTTGCACTTGGATGTGCTTTCAAACTGCTAGGTTGGCAAGAGCAGGGACCGAGCAATGGAAGCTCACCCCGGTATGGGGATTCGAACCACCGACCTTCCGATCAGCAAGTCCTAGGCTTTGTGGTTTAACCCACAGCGCCACCCGCATCCCCTCCCAGGCCTTAGACCTCGTTTAATCCCCTACAACAATCCTGTGAGGTAGGTCAGGCTGAGAGGCAGTGACTGGCCCCCAAGGTCACCCAGTGAGCTTCGTGACTGAATGGGGAGTTGAACCCTGATCTCTCGCAGTCATAATCTGACACTAGAACTGTTACACCACACTGTCTCTCTGAATGTGAATGAAGGTGGTTTAGACATACATACAGTCATACCTTGAGTTGAATGTGCTTCAGGTTGAGCGCTTTCAGGTTGCGCTCTGCGGCAACCCGGAAATAACGGAGTGCATTACTTCTGGGTTTCGCCGCTAGCACATGCGCAGACACTCAAAATGACGTCACGCGTATGCGCAGAAGCAGCGAAACGCAACCTGCGCACGCGCCATTGCGTCTTACGTTCTGTTCAGGATGCGAACAGGGCTCCGGAACAGATCCCATTCGCATCCTAAGGTACCACTGTATTTCATATCCATACAGGGCATTTGTAGGAGCTATAGCAGAGCAAAGGATATTGGGAATTCTCCAGAACATACAGCTATTTCCCAAACCACTATACAACACTGCTTGTCTATGGAAAAAACGCCTTTCTGTAGGTTCTACTCAGCCTGTATGGTTCTAGGATTCTGAGATAGGTTAGTCTGAGGGTGAATGAGTCACTGGCCCAGGACTGCTGAAACAGTACTGCTGGATTTAGTTGTAGCTTTCCTGGGAAATCCAGTATTTATTTTCCCCCATGTTGGCGGGGGCTGACAACTAGAGGTGTTGTGCAAAGCGCCTGGAATGCACCAGATTGGCAACGGTTCATGTGTTTAAGTCTGTGTGGAGTGGACGTGACCAAATGTATAATTATGGCCCACACTGAACACATTAAATAGGCCACATAAATGCTAAGATGATGGCTATGTTGGCAGTTCTTATTCTTTACTCCCGCTAATAGCAAACCCAGCTGGTGAATGTTGATATGACTGCAACCAAGATAGGAGAAACAAAGCATCTCCCAAAGCATACTGGGAACTGTAGTTTGCAAGCGGTGTTTAGAGCTGTAATTTCCCATATGGCTTAACAATCAATCCCTCTTCCCAGGGAATGGTAGCCCTGCATAGGGAACAGGGGTCTCCTAACTATTCTCAGCTCCAAGAACAAACTGCAGAAACTCCCAGGATGCTTTTGGGGTAGGCACACCTGTTTAAAGTGGTATGATACTGCCTGAAATGTATACAGTGGTGATAATAATAATAATAATAATAATAATAATAATAATAATAATAATAATAATTTATTTATATCCCGCCCTCCCCAGCCGAAGCCGGGCTCAGGGCGGCTAACAACAATAAAACAGTACAAAAGTACAGCACAAACAACACTCTAAAATCATTCATTATAAAATTAACCTCTGGTTACGAACTTAATTTGTTCCGGAGGTCCGTTCTTAACCTGAGGTACCACCCCCGCGCGCCTTCTGTTCTCATCCTGAAGTAAAGTACCCGAGGTACTACTTCCGGGTTAGTGGAGTCTGTAACCTGAGGCGTTTGTAACCCAAGGTACCACTGTAGTGCAATTGGGGCCTTAATCCTCTCCATTGACTTCCCTGGGTCTACCCTGAGTAAGAGTAGCTTTGGCTACCAGCCTATGTTTTTTCTTCCCTCTCTGTTTCCCAAGAGATCAATTGGGATGTCCTCTTTGCCAGGACTGTGAAAACACCCTTTGCACCCACATTGGGTGGGGCTATTGATTCTGGCCACTTTGTCAAGGGCCTAACTCCTCTGGATCATCTCCACCCTCTTACCTCAGAAGGGCAGAGGTTCAAAGACTTAACTTTGTCTCCAGGCACCTGCTAGAGCTCAGATTCATTCTCACTGGGTCGGAATAGTTTTGTTCCTTTTAAGGAATGTTGTGATGATGATGTAACTTTTGAATGTAGAACCAGAGTATGGAGCTTCTTTCTGGAATTTAAATCTGTTCTTTATTCATGACCATGAGGACTGGAATATTTTTTCTTTTTTTTAGCAGAGGTTGGATGGTCATATGTCATGTATGATCTAGTTGAGATTCTTGCATTGCAGGGGGTTGGATTAGATGACCCTCAAGGTCCCAATGTTCCATGGCAGAGCATCTTCCAGTAGGACTGGGAATGTCCCCTGCCTGAAACCCTGGAGAGCTGCTGCCAGTCAGTGTAGACAATACTGAGTGGGGGATGAATTGTCTGGACTCAATAATTAGGCAGCTTTCTTTTTTCCTTGAGAAAAGTTGAGAAAAATTCAACCCACCATGACATGCACTAGATTCAGGCCCAAACAGGGCCAACATCAAATAGAAAGCCACAGTTTAAGAACTCTCTAATTAATCTTCAGGTGAGAGATAAATTTAGGCTTGTTCTTTTAAAAAACAACCTGTCTAGAAACTGAGGGAGAAATATTAGGAAGACAGTTTTTTGGGGAAAGTTGCATTGGAGGTGGGGAGACCAGAAGCAAGAACCAAGCTTTAAGCTTTTAATAATGTTAAATTTTATTGGATTACAGAAACAGAATGTAGAAATGGAGCATGTAAAAAATTGTCCCTCCTATTGAAGAAGCAGAAACAGGTTTAAACTCCTTTCCTGAGGAGAGGCTCCCAAGAGGACCTCAAGAATTATTAAACAAAGCTTTAGTCCCTGAGATCTACTTCTTGAAGGCACACCGTGAAATGCTGGAGGAATACTGGGAACATAGCTCTTTGTTTTAAAAAAGAGTGAGCCCAGCCTTGACAGAAGGCACACCCTGCCCCACCCCAAACAAAACCCCAAGTACCACCCCAACAAGACTTTAGGTCTTCAATATATGACCTCCTCCTCTTGGTCCATCCGTGGTGGCTGGGGCCCATTGGAGCAGAAGGCAGGGAAGCCATGATAAGTGCAACCAAAGCCAAGGACAGGCAGGGCCACTCCTTGCTGGGGTTTAAGGAAGGCACGTGGGGGGCAGACTGAGGCTGGCTGGGCAGCAGCCCACTCTCCCAAATGGACCAGGCTTCCTAGCTCCCCTGCCCATCTCTCTCCCCAAAAAGCAATTTGAGCAGCAAGGTCTGAAAGCAGGGTCTGCGGGGTTCACTTTCTCAAAGGTCACACCTCAGAACAGCTCCGTCTTGGCTTATGGGGAAAGGCTGTTTTTTTACATATTTTGCTGAAATATGTAGGAAAGCTACTGGCAAAAGTGAGCCTCTCCCCTCAGTTCCATAGCTGCTGGGAGAATACACAAACATCTGCTTCCACCCAGCCAACAGCTCTCTCTCTCTCTCTCTTAGTCCTGGATTGGGTGCTCTCATCCAGCCCACGGTCACACAGTGTGGCCTCCCACTTCGGGGTACAGGGTTTCCCAGGCGATGAGGCGGCAGGTGCAGAAGAACTGCCAGAGGTTGAGGAAGATTCCTCGGTCGAAGGGGTTTTCCACTTCACAATCTCTCAGGTAGGAGATGCGGTGACGGGACATGAACTCCCAGGTGGTGGTGTTGTGGGAGGCAAGGTAGAGGTGGCAGCCCAGGAGCAGAATCATCACGACAGTGAAAACAGCAACCACAAGGAAGGAGAGGAGGAGGAGCAGGTTATACTGAAACCATGCCCATGAGGGATGCTCAAAATCAAGCCCAGACCTTTTTTTTTTTTTTTAGTGGTGGAGGAAAAAAAAAAGAGAACATCAGAGTTATTGAAAGATTCACAAAATTATAAAACCAAAGCTTTCGCAGGTGATATTGTCTTAACTTTGGAACAACCTTTAGCAAGTGCCTCAGATCTTCAGATCTAGCTGCATTCCTTTCAACAGGGGTGGGGAACCTTTTTTCCCAGCTGGGCGGCTGCATTTCCTCGCAGGCATCCTTCCAGGGGATGCATCCTTGGATCTGGGATGGCCAGGGGCCCAAAGTGGGAGGGGCAACAGGTGTACCTCTGTAGAGTAGGCTCCATTAAGCCATGCACTGCTCAAGAGTTTCCTATCCATAACACCTCTGACATTCAAGACACTCAAGGGAGAATTCTCAGTCCTATGAGTGGGTGGAGCAGGGCAGTGAGGGGCGTGGCTTGAGGAAAGGGGTGTGGCCTGGGTCAGTTAATGTTGTGTGAGGTTCCGATGGATGGATGGATGGATGGATGGATGGATGGATGGATGACTATTCTTTCATCCCTGGTTACGAGAAAGGAAATTACGACTAAACATCAGGAAGAGTTTTCTGATGGTAAGAACTGTTTGACAGTGGAAAGGACTCCCTCCAGAGATGGTGGACTCTCTCTCATTGGAACTTTTTATGCATAGATTGGATGGCCATCTGACATAGATGCTTTAGTTGAGATTCCTGCACTGCAGGGGATGGACTAGATGACCCTCAGGATCCCTTCCAACTTTACAGTTCTATGATTTTAAGATTGGGGAAGGGGGCTGAACACCTTCCTTTAAACACACACACACACACACACACACACAATTTAAAAAAAAATGTCTGGGGGTCTCCCGCCATAAGCTTTGCTTACCAGGCCACTGGCAGGGCCCACAGGAGAACCACAAGCTGAACAGCCAAATAGGCGACGAAGAATGGGTGATTCCTCTCCCCAACGCAGTTGTAAATCCAGGGGCAGTGGTGGTCATAGCGCCGGACGCAGTGCCGGCACGCCTGGCAGTGCCTGGCCCTCATTGGCTGCTGTGAGATAGAAAAGAACAGGATGTGTTTTTGTGCTTCCTTACATTTTCAACTCCAGGAGGGTCTGGGAAAGAGAAGTGCTGCTGGTGGTATGTCAACAGTACTGAGCTTAGCTGGGCTGAGGGTCTGGCATAGGATCAGGAAATTTCCTCCAAATAAGGCCTTAGCAGACTGAGATGGATGCAATATGCAATTATTAATGGTGGGAGGTCTTCGGAGGCTCCTTTCAGCAGCAGCTGGGGGCAACCTTAAAAGAGAGATCTGGGACTGACTGGAACAGGGATACACCCATTTATTTAACTGTTGAAGACGTCTAAGCCAAGGGAATTATAATTGCGCATTATGTCACTAAAAGGCACCAGCTGATCAAAAATTAAGATTAAAAGAAGAGGATTGTTTATTGTTAATGTTGGACTAAATAGAACTCAAAATAAAAGTAACAATATTAATCTACTGCTCCAGACATTAAAACTTTTTTATTTTGATGTTGACGGTTGTAAAGATCTGAATATATAATTGCAAAAATCTAACCGTGAGAAATGTGGGAGAGGGGGAGGGAGTAGGCTGGAAGTACTGTTTTTTTTCTGTTGAGCTCAGTGGAGTGTCCTTGACAAAGTACTGATAAGGGTAAAAATAACACTCCTGGCTGTGAGAAAGGATCTTTCATTATGGAATGAAATTCTACAGAGGAAGCCAGGAAACAGGGAGAGAATCAGCCCTCTCTGTTTAAATCAGAAATGGGAGAAGGAAAAATTTTAATTTCAAAACAAACCAGCCAGGCCACAATGGAAGAGTTTGTATGATTGGCTTTTAGATTTGAAAAGAGAATTGTTTGATGAGCTAAAGGAATATGTCAATAAGGCAGCTGTTAAAATTCAGGAAAATATCAATTTAACTTCAGAGGCTGTGAGACAACTAAAGGAGAAGGCACAAACCACTGAGGTAGGAATGATAGTGAGACGAAGTCTGAAGAAAATACAAGGGAAAGCAAGAGTGGTGCAAAACAAAAACGGTAATTCATGTGAAATGATATGGGAGTCTTTCACAGACAAAAATTATATTTTAGGTAAAAGGATTTTGGAGGCTCTTACTGTGATAGAGAAAAAAACAGAAAGGGAGAGCAAAAAGCATAAAAGGTTATTATATGTGGTGACAATGTAAAATCATTAAAAAGGCCTGGGATAAGACATATAAAGATCTGAAAGCAATGTGGAAAATGATTGTCCAGTAGCACCTTAGAGACCAACTAATTTTGTTCTGGATATAAGCTTTCGTGTGCATGCACACTTCTTCAGATACCCATGCACACAAAAGCTTATACCCAGAACAAACTTAGTTGATCTCTAGGGTGCTATTGGACAATTTTTAAATTTTTAAATTTATTTTGACTGCATGAGACCAACACGGCTACCTACCTGAATCTGGAAAATGATTGTTGTAATAAATTGTTAACAAAAAAAGAGAAAATTTCCTCCAAATAAGGCCCTAGCAGACTGAGATGGATGCAATATGCAATGATTAATGGTGGGAGGTCTTCAGAGGTTCCTTTCAGCAGCAGCTGGGGGCAACCTTAAAAGAGAGATCTGGGACTGACTGGAACAGGGACACACCCCTCAGACTATTTTTCAAGGAACATCTACCTTCAACAGACAGTAGCCACAGCGCCGAAGCCGGAGGTTTAGAGTTTCCTGGGAGCTCATTGCTTCCTTCTCATCGCTTACAGGTTCCTACCAGAAACAAAAAAATAAAAAAGAATACAGATGAAGGAAAAGGGAAAAAAGAATATAAGCATTTAGGGATTGGAATGGAGGAGTGTCTAAAGCATTTAATGTCTCACACACTCCATATTTAAAGCCCATGGCATTCCCCAAAGGATTCTGGTTTACCCCACAGAAAGTTATGATTCCTAGCACCTTTAACAAATGACTGTAACCAGGATTCTTGAGGAGAAGACATGTGCTTTAAATGTATCCAATGGCATTTTCTGCTAGAGTGGGGAGAAGACCCCCTGCCCAAAACCCTGGAGAGCCAGTGCTGCCAGTCAGTGTACACAGTGATGAGCTAGGTGACTGTTTATGGCAGCTTCCTGCATTCCTATTTAATTCCGCTCTTTATTCTGGACAATGAGGGCTAGAATCTTACTTCATTCTTAGGGCACAGGGTTGTAGCTCCATTGTAGACCTCAAGCTTTGCTCACGGAAGGTTCTAGGTTCCATCTCCAACAGCTCTGTAGGCTGTGCTGAGGGAAGCGGGGGAGAACTCTGCCTGAAACCCTGCAGAGAGCTGCTGCCAGTCAGTACAGTGGTACCTCGGGTTACAGACGCTTCAGGTTACAGACTCCGCTAACCCGGAAGTAGTACCTCGGGTTAAGAACTTTACCTCAGGATGAGAACAGAAATCACATGGCGGCAGCGGGAGGCCCCATTAGCTAAAGTGGTACCTCAGGTTAAGAACAGTTTCAGGTTAAGAACGGACCTCCAGAACGAATTAAGTTCTTAACCCGAGGTACCACTGTACTGAGGCAGATGGGCTAATGGAGTGACTCAGTAGAACACCATTCCCATGACATACCTTCTCCTCTTCATCATGCTCAACGTATCCTGGGTCCATGAGAGAGACAACAAAGTACAGCGACATGGAGCAGAGAACCAGTGCGAGGAACAAGAGGGGCTGGAGGAGGTCTCCCTGCTCTTCCTGCCTTTGCAGGTCTGAAAAAGAAGGGAAATTATCACGGGGGAAATGTACTGTACATGATTCTGTTTTGGGGGCTCTGACCATAAACAATCCAGCATCTCCTGGGACTATGCACTGAGCTCCCAGAGATGCAAGCCATCCACTCCTATTGGAAGTGTCCCAGCTGGCCAGCCCTGCACCTCCTGGACCACTGATTAGCCTCCACTATCCAAGGTAAGGCAGGTAGCACCTGCAGAAAGAGAGACAAATAGAGCCTTGCTGTGGGGCTCCCCACCCCCAACATGATTCTCCTTTGAGTGCCAGGCAAATACTTATTTTATTGGGGGGACAGGACATTCCCATGTTTTCATCATTGCTGTAAAATCTATCCATTTGTGTATTTCACATAAATAAAATAGAGGAGGAAGAGGAAAACCTGTATTACCTCTGACCACATGCAAAGTGCTCCACCCCTTAACCCCACTGCCCTCAGTCACAACCCAACCCACAGACTATCTTGCAAATCCAGCTCTCTGCGTTAAGTCCCCTCGTGTATATTTATTTCAGAATAAAGAAAACCAACTGCAGCCTGGGCATGTAAGGAGAAAAAGAAATTGTACCCTCTTTTAGGTTTTTACGCTTTTAAATTTGTTATATTTATAGCCCCCTCTATTCCTTCCTCTTGGGAATGTAGGGCAGGGGCAGATGGTTCCCCCACCCCCACCCCTTTACGCTCCCAATAACTCTGTGGACTAGGTTGGGTTGAGAAGGGTCTAGACGAGGGTGGCCCAAATTTTCATATCAAGTGGGCCACAAAAGTGCTTCGACACAGAACCCACAAGCCCCACACTGCCTTTTTGCGTGCTGGGGGGGGGGCAGGACAAAATTTGACGCTCCTGCCCAGCTCTATCACTGTGGGGAAGCTCGGGGGGAGGGTTATAAAATTTTGCTGAGGGCTGCCAAAAAAGTCCTTGAGAGTTGGACCACCCTGGGCTAGACTAAGGCCACTCAGCATGCTACACAGGAAGGTGCCTTCATACAGAGTCAGACCCACTAGTCCGTCTAGCTTAGTATTGTCTACACGGACAGGCAGCAGCTGCTCTCCAGGGCTTCAGGCAAAGGAGATTCCCAGCTCTGGAGATGCTCCACCACTGAACTTACAAACCTTCCGCAATTACCCATGGTTTTATTTTATTTAAAAATTAAAAAAATTAATTAAGGTTTATAGAGAAAAATACACAACTTAATATCTTCCCCCTTTTTGAAACCAAACCAAGATTTTTTGGGGTGCCAGAATGCTTCCTCTGTAGCCTGAGTGCAGATCTGAACCCTAGGGGTCCTGATCCTACCGCCCCACTTTTGGGGAGAGGGAGGAGAGGGAGAGACTGCCTCACCTGTAGGGTAGAGGAAGAGCCCCAGCAGGACACCGCAGGTGAGCCCCACGTACACTGCTCGGACCATGAAACCCCCGCTGCCCCGCGCCCCTCTCCACGCCATCATCGCTGCCTGCCGGGAGCAACGGAGCTCCGCAACCAAGCCGGCCACAAAGTTGCGGAAAGAGGCGGAAAGAGACTGCGAGAAGCGGGCGGGGCGTGTGTCATGGAAGAAGCGTGGCGATTGGCTAGCGTCAGAGGCGGAATGTAGCGAGTTGGATCCGAAGTCTGGAAGGGAGGGGCGGGGCGGACTTGGATGAGGCAGTGAAGGGCTGCCGAGGAGCTTTGTGGCATCTTATCAGTCGTTTTCGATTAATGATTTAAATAACAGTAGAAATGAAGTATTCTGATTATCGTTAGAACCATAGAACTGTAGAGTTGGAAGGGACCCCAGGGGTCATCTAGTCCAACCCCCTGCGATGCAGAAAGCTTCTGACGCCATCATTAATATATAACAGAGGTGCATCCAACCAGCCCTGCTGGACACCTCTTGCTCCCCAGCCCTCCATCTCTTTCAGGCCACACTAAGGCTGCCAGACTTCCAGGGTTGGCCTACAGTCTCCATCTTTGCCTGGTGATGGGGGCAGTCTTGAATCTCCAGGTGAACCAGAGCACCTTTCAGGTTTTTTTGTTTGTTTGTTTGTTTGTTTGTTTTTTTGTACCGTGTCCAGCGTGCAATCAGAGGCGTACCTAGGCTCCCCTCCCCTGCACTCTTGGCAAGGAGCTGTTTCTGAATCTGGGAGACACCATGGACCAGAAACTCAGAAAATTTGCTTTTCCTGCCTTTCGTGCTCTGCCAGTGATTTCCTCCAAGGCCATGAAGTCTGCTCTGCTCCCCCTCCCCTCTTCCGGCTTTAAGTTGCCCCAAGTGACACCTGGCTTTCAGGGTGGAAATGACTCTCCACTCCTGCGTTAGGAGACTTTTGTTCCTCAGAGTTTCAGTCACGGAGGAGGTTACCCAATGGTGAACTCAACACATTTTTGTTTAATGGTAGCCACTGATGCACTGAGTGAAGAAGTATCCTCTGTTGTCTGCTTTGAACCTTCCAGCATTCAGGCTCTGAACTGCTTTCATGATGAGTTCATCATTTTTATTGTGAGCTTGGCACAACCCATTTGCTACAGTTTTGTGGTATGGACACTGGATAAGAGTGGTCATAGGCATAGCCAAAGGGGAGCAGGGGGGCAGCTGACCCCCCAATCAATACAAATCTAAGCTTCTGTCCCCCCAAACAATATCCTCCCCCCAACAAAAATCCTGGCTACGCCCATGAGAGTGGTGGAGGCAATTCCAGTTCACTTATGAGCACACCTGCTTGATCTGCATGTTCCCATTTAATTTTTTCGATACCTTAAGTAAAATGCAGTGAAGGAAAAGGCCTTTGTGAAACAGCACTAGGAAGGACCCCATCTCGTTCACATCTATTCATCCTGCATAGGTATTGTGTGTTGAGGCAGTGAACATAAGAACCTGATGGATCAGGCCAATGGCCAGTCTAGCCCAGCATCCTCTTCTTGCCACAGCCAACCAGATGCCTGTGGGAAACCTGCAAGCAGCACCCAAGATCAAAGGCATCCGCCTCTCCCGTGGCTTCCAGTAGCTGGTCTTCAGGAACATTTCTGCCTCTAACTGTGGAGGCAGAACACAACCAGCATGGCTGGTACCCTTGATAGCCCTCTCCTCCATGGAGTTGTCTAATCCTCTCTTCAATCTATCCAAGTTGGTCACCACAGCCTCCTGTGAGAGGGAGTCTTACAGTTTAACTATGTGCTGCATGAATAAGTTCTTCCTCTGATCTGTCCTGAATGTTCTAATGTTCAGCTTCAGTGGATGCCCACAAGCTGCAGTGTTAGGAGAAAGGGAGAGAAACTCTTCTCTTTCCATCTTTCTTCAGAGGGAAGTCCCAGAGCTGAGAGTGCTGAGTTCATGTGGTCTGGAGATTGATTGTTCCTGGCTGCTGCGATTCTGGATGGAAGTGTAGCAACCAGCTCAACAGGGCCAGGTGACACAGAGCGACCAAGAAGGTTCCACCTGGCTCTGTATGAATCTGTTGCTGAATCCGGCCAAAGTCCTCCATATGAGCAGCTGGGCCCTGGGCAAGGAGAGGAGAACCCCAGGCATGGGCTGTGTGTATATGCATGCACCAAATGCAGTTGTTCAAGCCTCTATCCAACTCCCAGGCCTCTCTGCAGGTCACTCCTCTCAGTGGCCCTGTTGCACTTCCTTCTTGAGGCCTCTTGCTTGCTGAGATGGAGGGGTGGTTGTGGGTTTCCCAGAGGCATCTGGCTGGCCACTGTGGGGACAGGAGGCTGGACTAGATGGGCCAAGGCCTGATCCAACAAGGCTCTGCTTATGTTCTTAGGTCAAATTAATGAACATGGTGCCAATCATTTAATAGGTCCAATCTGAGTGAGATTTAGGCTACATACACACTGTACATTTAAAGCACCATGATACCACTTTAAACAGGGATGTCGCCCCCCACAGAATCAAAGAATTTTGGAGTTGGAAGGGACCCCAAGGATCATCTAGTCCAACCCCTGCAATGCAGGAATCTCAACTAAAGCATCCATTACAGATGGCCATCCAAACTTGGCCCACCACCTCTAGTCCCTCTAGTCCATTGCACTGTCACAACAGCTCTTACTGGATAAGAAATGTAAAGCATTTTGACTCTACACTGCACGAAGGAGGATGATTCTGTGATTCTTTTTATCTGTCCTGAACCTTCCAACATTCAGCTGCATTGGATATCCATGGGTTTTAGCATCAAGACGGAGAAAAACCTTTCTCTCTCTGCTTTCTCCATTCCATGCATAATTTTATAAACTTCTATCATGTTGCTCCTTACTTGACTTTTCCCTAAGCTAAAACACCCCTAAAAGAAACAGGGAAATTATTATTATACCCATCACACAGCTAGATAATTGGGCTTACATTCATTTGAAGCTTTTCGTATTCTCCAGAAAACGCCAACAGACACAGGATGTGGTCATTGCTTCATTTTCCTTTTTTTATATATATACAGAAATCATACACATACACACAAACTCCAATCTGAACCATTTGAAACAAAACAAGACCAAAAAAAGAGGAAGTTGTAGTGGTAGAAGGGGTTAAGGAAGAAATCCATTATTTAAAGGAAAGGGATTGTTGTTGTGCAAAATGGTCCCCACAGCTGGTGCTACTCGGAAGCGCTTTTGTTTGCTGGGGGTCTTTTTCAAAAGACGGACACACACACGTATTCATAAAGGCTCGTTCCAACTGCTAAGCTGGTGAGAAAGTCCAACCTATGTACAGTGAACGGGAGAGATGTCGAATGCAATGCTGGCAGGTGGTGGAAAGCCAGGGGTGCCTCTATCTAGACGTGTCCATGTTCTCGTCCATAAAGTTATTGCAGTGTTCTATGACTTTTCTGGAAAGGAAACAGAGGTCAGTGATTTAGGAAATGGCAAGGAACACAGAATGAGATATGACTATTGTAAAACTTTTCCTCCCTCTCTTGTAACAACAGAACTTGTGGACATCCCCTGAAGCAAAGTGCTGGGAGTTTCAGGACAGATAAAAGGGACTTATTCACACAGCACATAGTTAAACTGTGGAACTCACTGCCACAAGAAGCAGTGATGGCCACCAACTTAGATGGCTTTAAAAAGAGGATTGGACAAATTCATGGAGGTGGAGAAGGCCATCAATGACTAGTAGTCACAATAGCTATGCTCTGCCTCCACAGTGGGAAGCAGTAATACTTATGAAAACCAGTTGCTGGAAATGGCAGGAGGGGACAGTGCTTTTGTGCTCAGGTGTTGCTTGTGGATTTCCCACTGCAGCATTTGGTCAGCTGCTGTGAGAATAGGATGCTGGACCAGATGGGCCCAGGGCTCTTCTTATGTTATTACTATTAAATTTATTACCTGTTCTTCATCAGTGGGTCTGAGGACTGGTTGCAACAATTTAAAGTTCATAATTAAAAACAGATTACAGTCATAGGAATAGAGCGGGTCTCCAAAACACACATCTCAGGTGTCAAAGGCCAGAGATGCGCCTTCAGCATCTGCCGCCGGAAGCTGCATAGTGGAAGTGCCAAACACATCTCTGCAGCGAGGGAGCTCCACAACTTAGGGGCTGCCACAGAGAAGGCCCTCTCCTAGGCCAGCCCCAAATATCTGAAGGAGGTGGAACTACCAAGAGGGCCCTCTCTGCTGATCTTAACACCTGGGAGGGTCTGTAGGGAAGGAGGTGGTCGTCAGTCACTATTGACACACTGCTCTGTGGCTGCATCTGCATTATAGCTTAAAGCACTATCACACCACCTTAAACAGCTGTGCCTTCCTCCAAAGAATAATGGGAGCTATAGTTTGTTCAGGTTGCCCAGAGTGGTTAGGAGATTCCTCTTCCCCTTCAAAGAGCTACAGGTTCCAGGGTGGTTCAGTAACGGATCTCTCTTCCCAAGGATCTCTGTGAATTGTAGCTCTTCTGAAGGGAACAGAAGATGTCCTAAGAACTCCCAGCACCTTTAACAAGCTAGTAGCCCGGTATTAACGGTGAGCTCCCGTTGCTCGGTCCCTGCTCCTGCCCACCTAGCAGTTTGAAAGCACATCAAAGTGCAAGTAGATAAATAGGTACCGCTCCGGCAGGAAGGTAAACGGCGTTTCCGTGCACTGCTCTGGTTCGCCAGAAGCGGCTTAGTCATGCTGGGCACAGGACCCGTAAGTCGATAAAGCGAGATGAGCGCTGCAACCCCAGAGTCGGTCACGACTGGACCTAATGGTTAGGGGTCTCTTTACCTTTACCTTTAGCCCGGTATTGTTTAGAGGAGGCAGCAACTGTTTAAAAGTGGTATGATACCAATATAAATGTATAGTGCAGATGGGGCCTATTTCTCCAGAGGACTTACCTTCCCATCTCCTTCGTTTCTGGCCGGGCTGATGCCATTTTGATCATGTCGCTCAGGAGAAGGAGGCCACCTTCTTTGATCAGTAGAGGACAGTATTTGTCTGCTATGAATGGGGAGGGGAAAAGATGAGTTTACTCCCAACTACGCTGAATTATAAAAGGAAAAGTGATCATATTTTGCTCTTAAAAGAGGGGCTGTCTACACTTCCCGATGCTGGGTTTGACTTCATTGATGGCAGAGGAACTCTTCCCAGGAAAGGAAATAAAAATAAGGTAGAAGGAAGAGAAATACCATCGTGCTTGATGATCCTAAAAAATGTTTGGCTACATCCATAGAAGTTTTCCTGTAAGTTCAAAAAATTATTTTTCATTGGCGGTTCCCTGTCCTCCCATTTTTATCACATTATTCTTAACTGAATGTTTGCAGGGGAAGGGAATTGAAGAGCAAGAAGTAAACAAGATTAAAATAAGAGATTAAGTAAGCAGAGATTAAAATAAGATGCCACATCAGAGTTGGGGCACCTGTGACCCCCCAGCTGTTTTCAGACCACAACTTCCATCTTCCTCTGAGATGATGGGAGTTGGGGGTCCAGCAACATCTGGGAAGTAAAAAAACACCCTGCTGCCCCCACTCTAAGAGAAACCACCTCTCTTGGGATGGAATGCCTCTTCTAAATAGAGGCATTCTGGCATTCCTCCTTCCATCTCATTCAGGAAGGAACACTGCTTCTTAGAGCAGGAATGGGAATCTACAGTCTCACAAATCATTCAGTCATTTCATTCATTTTAATAGTTCATATACCTCTTAATATAATAAACTCTCCAAGTGGTCTGCACAATTTGCAATCACATACATAAAGAGCCTAGGAAAACACGAGAACAGAAATACTGAAATTATGTCTATGGGCTGCTAGCAATACTTCAAAGAAAATACATCAGTGATGCATTCTCACACCCTAAACTGTGACTAATTTTAACTACTGCTTGCTGAAACAACTCCCAGCAACCCCCCAGCAATGGCAAGGGATGATGGAAGTGAAGCCTGGGGGGTAGTTCAGTCAATACAGTGCGAGACTCTTAATCTCAGGGTAATGGGTTCGAGCCCCACTTTGGACAAAAAGATTCCTGCATTGCAGGGGGTTGGACTAGATGACCCTCATTGTCCCTTCCAACTCTTAACAATTCTATGATTCTAACATCTGATGCAAATATTTCCTTAGAGGCACATTCTTAACTACCTAGCCTAAACCTCAGCTGCTGCTGCTGCAGCAGAGGTTTCTCAAGAGGGACTTACGGTAGACAGACACAAGGTTGAAAAGGGCCCACGTAGCCCAGTGCTGGCTCACTGGAGAGATTCCTTGAGGGATGAGCCTGAGGATTGGCTCAAAGGACCTGAAAAAATGACAAAAAGCAGGGTAAAAAAGTGACCAGGAGAAAGAATGGGAAACCCAACATTCTGCAGGTATTTTGAGGAGGTCAAACAACAATGACAACAATAACCATTTAAAAATGGTAAAGGAAAAGATTACAAAACTACTATTAAAAATACAAGGTTTTCCAGGCCAATGTGGGAAGGGGAAGTGAGTCGCAGTTTAAGGATACGTCCGAGCCTAGCAAAAGCACTCAAGGGGGTGGGGTGGAGCAGTACCCCTGAGGGTGGTGTCCTGGGGAGAGTCCTGAGGGCCAGAACTGAGAGGCCAGAGGGTCACATTTGGTCCATGGGCCTGAGATTCCCCAGCCCAGTCTCTGCCTACCTGTAGTTGATGTTCCTCCTGGAATTGACATCCCACCGCTGGATAGCTGCCCACATCCGGTCAACCACCTCCTCCCTGCGGGGCTCACTGATCATCCAGGCTTCTGGGCCATCAAACATGATGTGGGAGAGGACTCCACAGGCATTGTAGGATACTTCAATGCCATCAGCTTCACTGTCCAACAGGTTGCTGTTGTATATAAAATAGACGTATAAGCCAAACTGCACCAACCTTTAAAGCCCTGGATACCTAAAAAGGATTTTTAGGATACCTTAAAGCCACCCTCTCCAAAGGATTTTCTCCTCTGCAATCTTCCAAGATCTGAGTTGTCTGTGGTTGGGACATGGGAAAAGGCCTCAGCAAGCTGGGCAGACCTAAACATCCCCAGCAAGGGAGGCCAATCACACACCTGACCTGATGGCTTTTCATTGCTATACCAGTTGGTGGGGAGAGTACCTTCCCACTGAGGGTCCAGCTTGTGAGCTTCCAATCGGTGCATCTGTTTGACCACTGTGAGGACTGGGTACCAGACTAAATGGCCAATAGTCTGATTCAGCAGGGCTCTTCTTATATTCTATTTATTCACTCATTGCTGGAGGCAGGATGCCTCTGAAATCTAGTTGATGGGAATGAGGTGCTGCCGTTTCACTCGGGTTCTGCTTTTGGGTTTCCTGTTGGGACATCTAGCTGGCCACTGAGAGCAGGGGGCTGGACTAAGTGGGCCACTTTGGTCCATTCCAGCAGCCAATCCCTTCAGATATTCTCTTTTACCAGAGAAGAAGAAGATGGTGGTGCTTAGCCCTAAAAGATGCACCCACCTGAATACACTGATGAACTGGGAGGTCATCAGTTGTGGGCGGAGCTCTTCCACCTCTGCTACGTTTCCCAGGAGGCCCAGCATGTTGCGATGCAGTTCTTGCTTGTCGGGAAATTCCTGCAGGGAAGGCAGGTGCGAGGAACAAGGATTTTAACAGGAGAGGGATTCAAAATGGTCATCATGCCAACCTCCCAGCCTACAGCAAGTCACCCTATGACCCCTCTAGATGTTCCTGGCCTACAGCTCCCAACATGCCTGCTGGCTGGGGCTGATGGGAGCTTGAGTCTAGCAGTATATGGAAGGCCACAGGTTTCTGGTTCAGATTCCCCACTGCTGATCTAAGAAGAGGCATTTCACTTTCTCATAAGGGGAAGCTTCAGGAGACATTGTTGCATCTCTTGAGAAGGAAATGCCTCTTCTTAGATCAGCAGTGGGGAATCTGAACCAGAAAGAAGCATTTCTGCATTGCTTGCAAGCTGCTTTTTAGATCAGGGATGAGAGACTTGTGGCCTTCTAGTTATGATTAGACTCCAACTCCCACCATCCCTGGCTCTTGGCCAGGCTTGTTGGAGGCTGACGGGAGTTGGAGTCCAGCAACGTGTGGAGGGCCCCGCAGGTTGCTCACCTCTGCCCTAACACACTTCTCACTTGGGGCCAATGTGAGACACTTTGCCACCCGAGGTAGAAAACGTTCTTGGCAACAGATACCCATGCACACACAGACACAGTGCACACCTGGTACATTGCTTCAAAGCATACCATTCATGAGAGTGTTCCAGTGATCCCACCCCCATGTATTTACTGAATGCATGAGAGAAGGTTTCAGTTTGGGTGGGAGAGGTTTATGCACATCACACCTCCGGGAAGCTCGCAAACAGGACCTGAGCACAACAACACTCATCCTACTCATGACTCCCAGCTACTGCCTTTGACAGTGGAGGTTGAATGTAAGGGTCCTGAAGGATCAGGCCACAGGCCAATCTAGTCCAGCATTCTGTTCCCCCAGTGGGCAATCAGATGGAATCCTACAAGCAGGTTGTTGAGTGCAACAGCACTCTTCCCCCTACCCCTGCTGAGATTCCCAGCAATTGGCATACAGAGACAGGGGAGGGAAAATGAAAGATTCTAGGGTAATAATCTAATTAATACATGAAGGAGTTAATAAATGCATGAAATAGGTTGTCCTGACAGGCTTGGCCAATGTCACTTCCCCTCACCTCGGGAGGATATGGGCAACCAAGCCTTTTGTTGTACTCATGCCCCAAAGGGAAGCCTATAAACAGGACCTGAGCACACCAGCAACTCCCCCACACTTGTGACTCCCAGTGACAGGCATTTGAATGTGATTATTCTGTTTCTGTAGTTCATAAAACTAATAGCGCTTGAAATTCTGCATACCTTCAAGCACTCCAAGAAGAGCTTCATGCCACTGTAGTTGAGGAACATTTCACAATTGTTTGGGGTCTCGTCCGTGATGTTCCACAAGGCGCTCCAGGAGAACTCCATCACCTGATCACACTGCCGGAGTAATGGAAAAGGAAAAAAGATTCAATCTATTGGAGTCTCTAAGGGGCTTCAGCCTCTGGCTTCTGTTTGGCTGGAAATCCTTATTTGTGTCTTCACCACCAATAGGAGTGTGGTGGGCAGGGACAACGGACAGCATGGTTTTGGAGGCAGCACTTTGGAATGCTGGAAAAAGTGAGGCATCCCCCTCAAAAGCAGCAGCAGTGTGTGTGATCAGCACCACCAGGGTTAAAATCCTGATGCTGCCCCCTGAAGGTCACTGGGTAGTCTTGGGACAGTCTACCCGCCCCCCCACCTATCCTACTTTGCAGGGTTGCTGTGATGGTGAAAACCGGAGAAAAGTCAATACATTTCCTTGGAAGAAAGGGGCAGGAATGAAAATGTAATGTGTTTGAAAGATTTGTTCTTTGGGGGAAAAGGTAAAATCTGGAGCTACCTGGGAGATCCTCAGGGTGATCTGTAAGTCACATGAACATAGAAAGGTGCCTTCTTCTGATTCAGACCATTGAGGTCCATCAGTATCAGTACGGTCTACACTGACTAGCAACAGCTCTCCACGGTTTCAGGCTGGGGCCTTTACCACACTCTACCGGCCTTTTGTGGTTTGATTAAAACTATTTGATTTGTTCCTGGCTCTGGTGCCCTTGTGGGGTTTGCAGGACAGGGGAGGGCAGGACAGAAAACCACATCTGAGTCATACCGTTTTATCCAACAGCTTCTTCTGAATCAGTTTCAGCATGGTCTGTTGGTGGGAAAAAGAAGCTATGTAAATGTTTAGGATAATTGAGGCCAAGGGGTGATCACTGGATAAAGCAGGCCCAGGGGCCAAATGTTGTCCATCAGTTTCTTCTCTCCCCCCCCCCACCCAATGTGGCCCCCAGAACTTGGCCAAGGCTGTATCTCCCTCACCAGGCCACGTCTCTGTTGACCCTGCCCATCATTCACTTGGCATGCCCTCTTTGATCCCCTGGTCCCACCCACTTCCAGCCTCTGGTCCTGACCACTTTTGGCTTCCCTGGCATGCCAGCCCCCGAAGGTTGCTTATAAGGGAATCTGGATGATTTAAGTGGGAAAAGAATCTAGAAAGCGCCCTGGAAAGAAATTTTGGCTCAGCCTCCGTTAGCATTGAGCAGACGCCTGAAGGCAGCGTTCACGAAAACCCACCATGACAAACCCCATCTTGCCCACAGCCTCCTTGTGGTCGTTGTCCACCTGGCACACCAGGGCGTTACAAAGGTGCACCGCGATGCGCTGGATCGACTCGTCCTGCCGCGTTGGGTTTAGGATATTCAGGAGCAGCTCATTGACCCGCCGGTACTGGAACTCCACCTCCTCAGGGATGCTGAAGTTGCACAGAGTCAGGCAGCAGTTGCGCTGCACCTGAGGGAGGGAAGAAGGGAGGAAGTAGTGGTGACCAGGCAGCCAGAAAGGGCTGTCCTGCTTTAGGTGAGCTTTGGGCAATGCAGTCTCCCCAGTTTCCAGAAGGAAGCTGCCTTTCACTGAGTCAGACCGTTACCCCACTGAGCTCAGCACTGTCTACACTGACTGGCAGTGGCTCTCCAGGTTTCAGGCAGAGAACATTCCCACATTCCTACATGGTGATCCTGACTGAACGTGGGACCTTCTGTTCGCAGTGCAGATGCTCTGCCCACCGAGCCATGGCACTTTCCATGTCTGCCAGAGACACCAGAGAGCTGCTGCCGGTCAGGAAGATATTCTGACATGGTAGAAGGCGGCTTTGTTAAGCGCAGAACTCTGAACCACTTGAAAAAGTCAGCAGTAATCAATCAATCAATCAATCAATCAATCAGAAGCTTCAGCTAATAATTAACTGAAGCTTGCTTGGATTGTTCGTAAGACTGGGCATGGGGATTTTAAGCCAGTGGAGATGCAAGTTAATTTGTTGCCCATTTTGATCCTGGTGCGTTTTTTCACAAGGAAGTTGAGAACTTTTGCTCTCAGCTCCGCCTCTGAGCCACCAGGAGCAGCCAATCAGATGCTTTCCCCTGCTAGACTCCACCCCAACAGGCTCCACTCCTGATGCAAGATGCACTGCCCCTCTCCCTGACTCTACCTCTTGACTCTTGGGGGCCCCAGCAGACCTGGCCACCCAGGACCCACAATTATGTCAGTGAAATTATAAATTTGGCAGTGACCACTTACAGTGACTTCCTGGTAAGACTCCATGCCACTCAACACCACCTGGACAACCTGGCGCCGCAACTTGATGCTCTGCTCCAAGCGGTATTCTGCATTGGTGAGGTAGAACAGAGTGGCGCTTCCTGTCACCTGGATATTCTTATCGTATTTGTGGCACTTCAGAGCTGTTATAACTAGCTGTGGAAACGGAGCAGGAAAATGCCATTGTCAGTCAATTTTTTCTTGATTTTATTTTTAGCTTTTTTGCAAACCATTTTTTGAGGGTGTTTTTTTTAAAAAACCCACAATCAAGCAGGGTATACATTTTATGAAATAAATACAATTCTATAAGTCTGTGATTCTCCTCCATGAGAATGTAAGAGCCCGGGCAGATCAGAGAAAAAGTTCTCTCTTATACAACGCCCTGGGGTCCTAAAAAATAAGGATTTTTATATTTCATTTAAAAACTCATATAAAACAGAGAAAACAGCTGTAACAACATACAAAAAACAAAACTGTAACATAAGGATGTAGAATAAGCACAACTGAACTTGGTTTAAGGTAACCAAGTATACATAAAGAATATTATCAAGTCTAGTTCCAGATTTGCCCGGCTTGTGACGAGAGCTGTCTTGAAAACTATGGTTCCGTTGTCTATGTCGTCAAGGAACGCCAGATCAGACAGAAAGCACCTGGAGGTTCCAATCCTTGTTGGACTCTCAAATTATGCACAATTTTCTCCATTATAGCTCTGCTCCAGAGTGAGTGGTCCAGTGTTCGATTTGGGGCTGTTTTCCACTGAGGTGCAATTACTCTTTGTATAAGCTTTGAAGATTATCTGTTGCTGCTACCAGTGGGGATCTCAGAAAACAGCAACAGAAATTGCCGGCATTTGGCTGTTCATCCCATATTCGGAATGGAAACCAATCCAGTGAATATAATAGGTATCCGCTGTTGTTGCTGCTTTCAGTCGGGGGTCTGAACCCAGGACCATTTGCATGCAAAGCAGATGATCTACCTTTCCTTTTAAGTAAAGTAAGGTTCTAGTCCTCCTGGGTTCTACTCCAGCCCTGAATACAGGGCTGAATTAAATAAGAACATTGGAAGCTGTCTTATACCAATCAATCTCAGTGCTGTCTTCACTGACCAGCAGCAGCTCTACAAGATTTTTACAGGGAGGTTTATTTCCAAACCTTACCTGGAGCTGCTGTTGAGGATTGAACTTGGGACCTTCTGCGTGCAAGGCAGATACTCTATCACTGAGGTATCTCCCTTCTCTTAAAACATAGGAAGCTGCCTTATACGAGATCATACCATTAGTCCCATTGTGCTGACTGACAGCAGCTCTCCAGGCTTTCGGATAGAGCATTCCCACTCCAGCACTACTTGGATATTCCATTGGGAATTGAACCTGGAGCCTTCTGCATACAAAGCAGATGCTGTACTACCGAGCTATGGCCCTTTCTCAAAAAAGAGAATAAAAGAATCATAGAATTGCAACTGCAATGCAGGAATATCAAATAAAGCATCCATGACAGATCGCCATCCAAACTCTGCTTAAAAACATCCAAGGAAGGGGTGTTCCCACACCTTCCGAGGGAGTCCATTCCACTATTAAACGGCTCTCACCGTCAGAAAGTTGCTCCTTTTGTTTAGTTGGAATCTCCTTTCTTGTAACCTGAATCCATTGGTTTGGGTCCTACCCTCCGGAGCAGGAGAAAACCAGCTTGCTCCATATTCCATGTGACACCTTTTAGCTATCTGAAGATGGCTATTGTAACTCCTCTCAGTCTCCTAGTCCTCATAGTTCAGAATAAAAGACTACGACTCGCTCACCTTGAGGGCTCTCAGGTGTTGGTTGCAGTGCTCAATGCGAGTGATGTCAAAAAGGTTGTTGATGGCTCGAGACGTGATCTCAGGACGATGCTCAGTATATGCCTCAATGGCGTTGAGCACTTGCTCTTCACTCTTGCCCCCAGTAACCTGGCATGGAGAATGGGGACAGTTCAGAGGCAGCACAGGAAGTGTGAAGTGTGGGGCAGTGGGTAGAACATTGGCTTTTGGGATGGGGAAGACTTGGCTTCAAATTCCCAAGCACATGTTTCACTTATTTTGTTTATATATTTTGGATCCCAAAGGGGTCCAGAGCTGCAGACAACAAGCAATAAAACAGCTTTAACATGTTTAAAATATCTTTAAAAACAACTTCAGTGCAGATGCAGACTGACAGAAAGATCTCAACTTAAAGTGCTTGTTGGAATAGGAAGGTCTTCAGCAGGCGCTGAAAAGGCAATAAAAAATGCACCTGTCTAACATTTTAATGGAACAAAATTCCAAAGTGCAGGTGCTGCTATACTAAAGGCCCAATTCCTACATTGTGGCTAATGGATCTCCTGAGTCGACAGTATCTGCAGGAGGCCCTCACCTGCAGAGTGCAGAGTTCAACTGAGTATATAAAGGGTGAGAAAAACTTTTAGGTATTTTCTACTTAAGACCACTGAAATCGCTGATGGGAGCAGATTAGATTGTGCGGTCAGTAATTTGTTTATGTTACCAAATTATGGATGGCGGTACGTGAATAATATAATGATCTCTCAGTGTAGCCTATGTGTGAGTGTGGGTGTGAAATCTGATTGAGAGCTATGTTTTTTGAACACATTGGCACAAATCAGATCAGTCCCTTTCAGAATCCATGAAGATCATATTCCTCAAGAAGACCTAATATGCACCTATGAGCTGTGTTATTCCGCCAAACGATTAAAAATATTTTCCCCTCAGCTAAAAAGATGCCTCAGTAGCAGATATAGTTATTATGAATACTTTTTGCCGTCTATTCTTGCTTTACCTTGTAGGCTGGGATGTGTGAGAGATGGCAAAGGGAGGTCTCGAAAAGGCCCAGGAACTGGAGAGGCTGCTTCAGGTTCCTGAAAGGGGTGATGCTGCTCATTTCAGGGCTGATGCTGGGGGAAAATAGGAAAGACATGAAAAACCTCACCCAAGAGAAGCAGGCCGCTGGTCAGCCTGGCTAGTATGACTCTGACTGGCAGCAGCTCTCCAAGGTTCCGCCTTCAGCTCCCCCAAGAACCTTTTAACTGGTAGATGCTCAGGGTTGAGCCTGGGACCCTCAGCACTCAAAAAAGAAGAACATGTGGATTGAGTTGTGGCTCATTCCAGTCTTCTGTGCACATCAACCAGAGTCAGGCCAGTGCCCATTTAGCTGTCTTCAGCAGGGATGGGCACCCTGTTACCCTCCAAACATGGTGGGACTCCAACTCCCATAAATCCTGGCCAATGACCATGATGGCTGGGGCTGATGGGAGTTGGAGTACAATAATATGTGAACACCCACTGGTTCTCCACTTCTGAGGTTCCCTCATGAGGAATGTGTCTTCTAAATAGTGGCATTCCCCCATTTCTTGCACGCAATATGGAATGCTCCTTCTTAAATCAGGGATGGCAAACCTGTGGCCTTCCAACCATTGATGGACTACAGCTCCCATCATCCCTGACCTATTGGCCATACTAGCTGCTGGAGGCTGATGTGAGCTGTTGGGAGTCTAGTAAGATCTGGAAGGGCCCCAGGTTCCTCTACCCCTGTTTGAAGCCACCAATATGGCTCCCGTCTGACTCACCTTGTCTGGCCCACTTTCTCGTCCTCACTAGAAGAGGAGCAATTCTCCAACATGATGTGGCCAGAGATGTCCAGAGAGGTGAGGTTGACCAGGTTCTCCACAAAGAGGTTCAGGACCCGCTGGGTCAATTTGAATTTGTAATAACTGGAGAGGCGGTCCCTGGAGATGTCCAAGTGCCTGGGAACAAGGAAGAACAGAAGCATGACGGCAAGATAGAAGTGTGTAAAACTATGCATGGCAAGGAGAAAGAGACTAGAAAGGAGTCATTCTCCCTCTCCCGTAACACCTGAACTTGGGGGGGCGGGCGGGGAAATCTAATTAAACTGAATGTTCAGTTTCTCCCCTTCAGGGTGATGCATGGTTCAGCTATGGAACTCTTTCCCACAGGAAGAAATGGTGGCCACTAACTTGGCTGGCTTTCAAAGAGGATTAGACTAATTCATGGAGGAAGACAAGGCTATCAATGGCTACCAGCCACAATGGTTATCCTCCGCTCCCATGGCTGGGAAGCAGAAATGCTTCTGAATACCAGTTGCTGGGAATCACAAGTGGGAACAGTTGTGTTGTGCTCAGGTCCTGCTTGTGAGTTTCCCAGAGACACACACACAGTTGGATGCTGAACTAGACGGACCAGGGGCTTGATCCAGCAGGGCTCTTCTTATGATAATAATATTTATTACTAGGTGCTGTGGCTCCTGCTCACCAACCCCTCTTACTCTTTGCCATTCCTCCACACCTGACAATGCCTTCCCCCTCATTAAACAGTTCACATGAGCTGGCCTGCTGTCCCTCACACTGCACTTGCAATGGCTGCTTCTTGGCAGCTACGCAAATTGCAGAGTGTGCCCAACCCCTTCCATTGCCACATATTTTGGAAAATGATATTTATTTATCTATTTAGTTAGTTAGTTTGTATATCGCCCTTCATCTATAGATCTCAGGGCAGTTCACAACATAAAAATACAGTATAAAAACACAAACTACGTAATAAAAATAAGAACAAAAACAAACCAATAATCCCCCCTCCCATAGCACATTTGAAAGGGTATCAGATGTTAAGTAGCCAAAGGCCTGGTTGAAGAGGAAGGTTTTTGCCTGGCACCTAAATATATCTATTTTAGCTCATTCCTTCTGCATTTCTGCTACAGTTATTTTTATAAGGTTCTTACTGTGAATAAATATTGGGTTTTATAGGGTAATAGTCAAATAAGTTGTACTCAGAGAAGTGCTGTTGGTTTCAATGGCTCTATTCTAGGGATGACCTTGAGCTTTGGCTTACAGCAAGGAAAGCATTTAAGCACATGCTGCCTGGGGGCTCATGGGAGTTGCAGTCCAAAGCACCTGGAGGACAGCAGGGTGGAGGAGCCCGAGCTAAATGCCTGCAAAAACAGCCACATCTTTGGGGTAGAAATTCAATCAGTTAGAAAGGCTTTATCTTGTAGTGATGAGTTCCATAAGTTGGCTCTATTCTGGATGGAGAAGTTAACAATCAGGTCAACCCAGCCTTTGCTAACTCAGTGCTCTCCAGGTGTTTCAGACTACAACAACCATCCATGAAGGCTGGGGGTTGGTGGCAGTTGTAGTAAAAAAACATGCAGCCTGGGGACTGATGGGGGTGCTAGTCCAGCCAGGCTAGTAAAGGCAGGGCAAAGTGGCTGCAAAACCAAGCGGGTCAACAGCACCACCAGCTGACCTGAGCTTGCGCAGTTGGGCGATGGCCTGAACATGCTCCTCACAGAGGTCCATGTTATAAAGCACCAGGGAAGCCAAGCTGTCCTTCCATTGGGTGAGGAAAAAGATGTCGTTGAGCTGGATCCCAGAGAGGTCCAGTGCAGTCAGTGAAGCCAGAGGTCGGAGCAGGCTCTCCACATTCACCCATTTGGTTATCTGGCCCAAGTTGAGGAACCGCAGGCGGTGGAAGCCCTCAAATGTGAAGTCCTTGACGAAGTCCTTGGGGGTTAGGTTTAAGTTGTCCTCGCAGCCCCCTGGATTCTTCTCCTCATAGAAAATGTTGGTGCAGCCGAAGAGGCTGAGGGAGACAAGGGTGGGGCTGAAGCTGCCCAGGGTCTGGAGGCTCTTGGCTGTCAGTTTCTCGCAGTTTGTCAAGAATAATTCGACCAGGTCCTAAGGGACGGAAAGGTAGAGTGAAAAGTTAGAAAAGTTCGGCTGACTTGGTTTCAGGCAGCTTCCTATGAAAGATTAGGTTTGGGAACGATCCTGTGCCCTGGAGAGTGGTGCCTTCTGTGGAAGATGCCAAACAGAGGGAATGTCTGTTGCTCAGTGATAAAACAACTATTTTGCATGCAGAAGGTCCTAGGTTCAATCCACCATTGCATCTCTAGGTAGGGCTGGGGAAAAGACTTCTATTCCTATTTAATTCAGCTCTTTATTCAGAATCGTGAGGACTAGAATCTGATTTTATTTTTTAGGGAAAGGGCATACAGCTCAGCAGCAGAGCATCAGCTTAGCATGCAGAAGGTCCTAGGTCCAATCCCCCATGGCCTCTCCAGGTGGGACTGGGAGAGACCCCTGCCTGAACCAGAAAGATTCACTGCCAGTCAGTGTAGACAATGCTGAGTTCAAGGGACCGATGGTTCAATGCTACAAATTGGCTTCTTCTGTTCCTACCTGTTTTCGGATGGCTTCCAGGTCCTGATCTTGCACAATATCCTCCCGCAAATGGATTCTTGCCAGCCTGGTGCTCCGTGGATCTGAGAAGAGCGTGAAGAAGTTCTCATTGTGCTCAAAGATAGTGTCGGCGTTTACCAGCTCCACATACCTATGTTTAGAGACAGAGATCAAGGTGGGGAAACGATCTGAGCATTTTTCGTTAATCAAACATCAGCAGACTTGGGTTTGGGCTTGGGTTTGGCCGCCAGAAATAAGGATCCAAATCTTTGCTTAGCCCTGAAGCCCTTCATGGCTCCTTCCTGAACTAATAGAATTTTTCCACCTACACTACCTCACAGGGTAAGTCATGAAAATTAAATACAAAAAAGGATACATTGCTACTCATGTGTAAGCCTTATATATTAGGGCACTTAAGAAATTTAAATACAGTGGTCACATCCAAACCATACATTTAAGGCACACAGCTTCAACCAATAATCATGGGAATTGTAATTTGTTCAGGGTGCTGGAAATTGTAGCTTTGTGGGCCGTAAACTCACAGAGTTATATTCCCACTACCTTTAACAAACTACAGTTCCCAGGATTCTTTGAGGGAAGTAATGTGCAGCACAGCTGTGACTCAAGTCTGTTTTCTGAAGCATGTGCCACCGTGCTCAAGACTTTACCATGAACCTCAGGAATGAGCAGAACTAGTAAGAAATTCAGCAGCAGAGCATATGCTTTGCATGCACAAGATTCCAGGTTCAACCTCCAGCATCTCAAGTGAAAAAGACTCCTGCCTGACATTCCAGAGAGCCATTTCCAGCCATACAAGGCAGAGCTAGATGGAGCAAGGGTCTGACTCTGTGTAAGGCAGGTTCTTTTAGAAGCATCTCTCTGCCAGGGACTGAAGTGACCAGACTAGGATAGTGAAGACAAGGTGCTCCCAAATACAATAAATAAATAAATAAATAAATAAACTTACTCATTGACAAGTCTGTCACAAATCTCACTCGGCAGGAAGATGTCTGGGTGGAGACGGAGTGTCTCGTTGTCCAGCAAGTAGCAAAGAGTCCCCTCCAAGTTGTAAAGACAATAATCTGTGCAGAGGGTCATCAGAGGGTCTGGGCTGTCGGAAGCCATCTTGTGGCAGTGAACAGGGGAAGACCAGGGAGAGTGAGGGAGAAGGGGCAAATGTGGGGCAAAAAAAGTGCTTCTTCGTCCCCACCTGGAGTTCCTGTTCCTTTGTTTTAGGGATATTCCCCACTGGACTTTGCGGGAATGCTGCAGGCCGATGGCGGCGGGGTGGAGAGAAGAAGATAAATCAGAGAGTGGGGTGGGACATTTTCCACCACAAAGCACAGAAGTCCTTGCAATATTTTCCCACCCTCAAGCCAAACAAAGATTCAGTTTCAGTGGCCTGAACGCAGACCAAACAGGGATGGGTGGGTGGTAGTCTTGGATACCAAAACTCAACCTTGACTAAATGTCTAATGAAACGGGGGTGGGGGGGTAAAGGGGACTTTATGGGGTATTTTAAGGGACACAAAGGAGGGGTAGACAACATGGTGCGCTCCAGATGCCTTGAACTACAACCCCCCTACTCCTCGACTATGGCTAACGGGAACTGTAGTCCAGCAAAGTCTGGAATGCAGCAGGTTGGGGAAGGAGCCTCCAGTCCATTCAAGCAACATTAAAATTACACACACACACACACACAACTTTATTTTATTACATTGTTCTTCCGCTGCTCCCCAAGGAACATAGGCTAGCATACATTGTTCCCCCTCAATTTTAATCTCACAATCTGAGAGATAGTTTGATGAAGAGGCAGTGTATCCTGCTTTACAGAGAAGAGGCCTCTATTGGAAGGCTCTTATTTTGAAGAAATGCCTGAAGTCCAGTTTTGGCTTAAAGGGGAAGAATCCCAGGAAGCAGAGGAGCATCAGCAGAAAACAGCTGGGCAGTAGAGTAAGCAAGCAGGCTGCTGCTCAGCTGGTCACAGTCTTCCCAATACCCCACTAAGGTGAGCTTTACCTTTCTTTCTATTCAAATTATAGTCATTATATCTACATTTGCACATACATGTATAGATCAGCATATGCATGTTTTCTGCAAATGTGTCCCCACATCTGTCTTTTTCAATAATGTGCAAGTGACTACTGTACCTTAGTAGCCCAGAGAGAGAGAGAGAAAGAGAGAGAGAGAGAGAGAGAGAGAGAGAGAGAGAAAGAAAGAAAGAAAGAAAGAAAGAAAGAAAGAGTGCATTAAAAAGCAGTGTTAATAAAAGAATAAAAGAAAAAATATGCACAACATTACAAACTTTTACACCATTTATCAAATATGTGAGAAAGAGACAATTACTAACAAAGTGCCATGAAAACTTACAAACTACCTAAAATAAAGTGAACTTGCAATATCAGATTTTACTAGGTTCTTACAAATTCTTGACTTAGTTTTTCATTTTTTCTTGTTTTTTAAATAAGTTCAAGAAGATTCAAGAAAAGGGTGAGTTCAACGTTGTTCCTGGTAGCTGTGAGGTCCACATGTTATGGGATTGCCTCAAAATCCAACCCTTCTTGTCCTACAAGAAATATGCAAAGTAACTAAACAGAAGCCACCCCAGAACTGGTCCTATTGAATATTTTCCAAGACAATAGCACACACATTATAAAGACCTTATAATCCACCTACTCTCAGCATCTAGAAGCATCGTAGCCAGACACTGGAGAGACCTGTCACGAGTGAACATGGACCACTGGTACCAAATTGTATGGGAAACAGCCTTCCTAGAAAAGCTAACCAACATACTGAAACTGAAAAGGGGACAAATAAAAGAGGACACATTCGCCCCAGAGTGGCTGCCCTTTATTACACACACAGTCCAACAAGACAACAAGAACCCACTGTTAGCACACAAATCAATATGCTTAACTTGACTCAACAACCCCACCGCAAAGAAATCTGCAGTCAACTGAAGGTAACCAACCATGCCCTGGGCTCCCCCAAAAAACTTTCTCACTGCCAATGAAAACTAATAAATGAAAAGAAAGAGAATCTACCCAAGTGACGATGACACAAAAACCTCACACATACACTAAGTAAAAGAATGTAAGTTTACTACCACCCGTCCCCTCAATCTCTCTCCCCACCTCTCTTCTCCCCCAACCTTATATTGTATACAACACTAATGGCTCACATCAAATGTAACTTATCCATAGAAAAGACTTTGCAACCTGAAAATAGACACAATGCAATACTTTTCTAACCCAAGAAAATCTTTAATAAAAACTTTTTAAAAAACAAAACCATTTTCATCCAGCGCCTAAATATCAAGACATTAAGCTCTTGTCTAATTTCAGGTGGGAACTCATTCCAGATGGCTGGAGCTGCAACATTAAAAACCTAGCCTTTACTGCATACATAGCACACCTCTGGGGCATGCAGTATTCTCAGCAATGTCCCACCTGAGCAACAAAGTTGACCAGCAAGGATATGGGGCCGAGGCAATTTCTTAGGTAATCTGATCCCAAGGTGCAGGAAGCAAAACACTGAACTGCACCCCATAGCACACTGGATTCTCTTCCAAGATATAAAAAGATGGCAGGCACTAAATACTTATTTTAAAAATAAGTAACCTTCCTAAAAATGCACAGCTTAATTAACTGTGTGTGCCTTTTTAGTTAAGGAAAATAGTTATTATGGCTACTAGCCACCACTCAGGTAAAACCTATGTTTGACCTCCACTGTTGGAGGAAATATCTCACTTGCTGGCAATCGCAGGTGGGCAGAGAGCTCCTGTGCTCAGGTCCTGATTGTGAGCTTCCCATTGGAGCATCTGATTGACCACTGTGAGAACAGGATGCTGGACCAGGTGAATCACTGGCCTGATCCAGCACTTCTCTTCTTATGGCCTTGTAACTGATTAAAGGTTGCAGCTCTACTACTTGCCCAAAGACTTGAAGTCTAGTGCTACTCCCGCTTCTCAAGGCAGGTTGTGCCAACCTCAAGTAAACTGTGCACCTGAGTAAATCCCTTTTATAGCCTTCTGACAATCTAGCACTCTTTTATAAGCTGCGTAACCTTCCTAGCCAGGGCAACAGAATTGCATGATCATAAGTCATCACTGCAGCCAATGCTGCAGTTGCAGTCAAGAAGGGAGGTGTGGTGGAAGAAGACAGCAACACAGACCAACATCCAGAGTGGACTAAACCAGACCATTAGATTCCAGCAGAGCCTACAGTTTTGAAGAGGAAAGTGCTTTGACCTTCCTGCTGATGTTCCCATGGATCCCCACAAACAAAAAACTTGGAACAAATCAAAGGCAAACTGCCTCTTCACCTTCCCTTTGCATGAAAGTCTGAAGTTATTTCAGAATATGATACTTAGTGCATGTGCATTAGAAGTCAGTTTTCCACTCAAATCTATGTGTGTTCCTTCCAAATGATGTAGATATCAGATACAGGAGGAAAAGAATGAGACTGACCCTGCAACATCAGATTTAAATCTGATGTACAGTACTAGTATTCTTCAAGCCTTTATTCCACATTAACTTGAGATCTGTATGTACCATCGTAATTGATTTAAATGGGATGGTACGTCAGTTTCATACACAAGCATTGTTGAACACTCTGTTTAACAACATGTAGAGTTGCCAACTTTACAAGTATTGTCTGTAACTGACGTTTATCAGCCATTCATCTGCAGCAAATTAGCAGGTGGCATAAGGTTTATCTCCAGGCTGTGAAGAGCCTCATGGTGCTAATTTCTGCAGAACAAGCGTACACAGAATCAGGGTAGTGATTAGAATGTCAGGTTTGAATCCCCACACACTGTCATGAAGTTCACTGGGTGACCTGGGGTCTATCACAAATCTCTTAGCCCAACCAACCTCACAGGGTTGTTGTGACGAGAAAAGAAGAACTCCATGTAGAAAAGGCAGGAACAGAAATGCAATAATAAATGCATGACATTTCAAAAACAGCAATTTAAGTCCCAAATAGTTGCTCTGGGCAAAGGTAACTGTTTGATCCTCCACTAACATCTACTTTTTTTTGTCCTCCTCAGTTCCCAGTGGGCATTTGGGGCATTGGGACATTTTATAACCATTCAGCAGCCATCAGGCACTCCACACCATCCTCTGCGTTTTCTTTTTCCACCCTCAACATTCCTGCCATTCTGCATACGTACATATAGTGCCTTCCAATACAACTTTTAAAAACTAAAACAGTCTATTTTCTGCAACTGATCAATAAGTATATTTATCTGCAGGAGGGAGTATTGGGGAAATGGATTTACCAGGAGAGTCCTTTCTATGCATTATATTTTGAGGCATCTCAGCTGACACAGAGCCCACAGCACCAGATTATAGTGGGTAGACACCACATTTTCCTATGGAGCAAGTGGATTCCTGAGGCTTCCTCTCGTTTTATGGAATATTTATTTATTCATCTTATATACCGCAGTTACATGCTACTTGTAGTTTAGAAGCAGCATTACTATATCCTGCACCAGAGGTGGAAAACCCTTTGGTTTCCAGATGCATCTGGACTTCGACTCCCATCATCCCTGACCATTGGCCATGCCATTTGGGGTTGATGGGTCTGGAGTCCAACAATACCTGGAGGGCGGTAGGTCCCCACTAGTGCCCTATGAACACTCACTCACCCCAAGTGGATCTGAGGCAAAGCTGTCTGAAAGGTGCTGTGCACCACTTTCCCTGTGAGTCTCCCCCATTCCCAGCAAAAGAACCTGCACAGATATCTGCCTTGGCACATATGCCATAGGCAAAACACAGCTGGGTTTTGGACAATACATCATTTGTCAACCCCTCCTCTCAACAAGTGGCCCTCAAGGCTGAGATTTTTGCAGTGATGGAATTTCAAGGTTGTGGTGAGATATGGGTTACTAGCTTTCTGAAGAATGTGCACATATTGGTACCCTTGCCACGGGCAGATCCCAGATGGATCAGCTGTCACCCCTCCTCTCAACAGGTGGGTCTCAAGGGGCTTGATATCCTTCCAGTGGCGGGGTTTCGAGGTTTCGCCAACCCACTCACTGGGCCCACCGACTGCGCCCTTGCAGCGAGTAGCTCCCATGCAATTTGGGTGGGGTGGAGTGGGGGGGTGCTGCCCATAATCTCCGCCCTCGCCCCGTTGCAACAGGGTGGATCCCAGCGGGTCCTCCGCCCCTCCCAGCAATGCACGAATTGCTCCCAGGGTACCACTTCCACCTTCCCCATCAGTCACACGCGCACTCACCTGGCTCCCCGGCTCCCTGGACGAAAGAGAGTGTCCGGGTTGGAGTTGGTTCCGTTTCCGGTAGGGATAAGTGAGAAGGGGCGGAGGGGGGGGCTGGATAGAGATTAAGCGAAAGAAAAGCTGCGGGGGGGAGTCCCTAGTTCCCACCCGGGTCCCCTCTCTTTCTTTCCCAATTCTCTCTCTCTGGATCGCTCTCTCCACCCCGCCGCAAGCAGCAGCAGCACCAGCCGCTGTCAACAAATCGCAACGTCACTTCCGGCAGCCGGTCTCCTCTCCTTTCCTAGAGAATCAGAATGACGTGTCTTTCTCCCCTCCCCTCCCAGAAAATAAGGCTACGAGCGGAGGGTTCCGACCCTCCCATTTCACCTCGCAGATTTGGATCGCACACCCACGCTATAAACCTCTGAAGATCTTTGGCTTCCACCGCCTCACCCAGCAAAGAATCATGGGAACTGTAGTTTGTCCAGGTTGCTGAGGGGCTGTCCTGTAGCTTTGCGAGGGTGACGCTACAGTTCCCATGATACTTGATGGGAGTGTTTGCTCTAAATGTGCAGTTAAGTGTACAGTATGGTGTGGATGTGACCTCTAAAGGAGATTTCCCCTTTATCACAGCGACCTGGCCGTTGGCCATGCTAGCTAAGGCTGATGGGAGCAACAGCTGGAGGACCAAATGTTCCCCACACCAGTTCCAAAGGGAGCCCCCATACCAACTTGTCAAGCTTCAGCTGCAGTTTATTTACCCAAATCCAGCCTGTTACCAATTCCACATAGCAGTTTTATGCTTCCATCTTTCACACCAGAATCCTTGTAGTTCAGCTGGGCTTATACTAATACAGAGCCCATTGTCACCTACACCAAATGTGTTCTGACTATATACAATTTTGGTTTTAAGTGCAATCCCCATAATGTAACCCCTGCATAAGTAGAGGGCTTACTATATTTGTGACCCTGTCACTGTATTACAGCAACCAGAGGGGTATAACGGCTTGTTGGTCTGTTGCAAAGCAAACAACAGAGTATTGAAGGCCTGTACTTAACCAATTTTTAATGTAATGGGCTCTCATAGTGTACAGTACATTATTTAAATGCATTAAGTGTTACACTTAGCAAACACGTGGGGGGGATGTAAACAGTGGGGTTAAATAGCAATGAGATACCAAAAAAATGTCTGTGACAATTCAATTTAAATTGGCAATACAATTTAAGTCAAATACACGCACGCATAAAAGCACAGTGATATTTCACAACAGCAGTTCTAGGACACAATCATCTAAGTAAGGCACCTGTGAGCAGAACAAGTCTCTGTTCTACCCTATCTATCAAACTTCATGCTACATAGACAGCTCTCCTAGGATACTTTGGGCTTGAATAAAAGCAAGTTTCCTATTTTGCTAACTCTTAAACTGGGTTTAGGGCCTGCCTCAACATACAAGTTTGGTGATAAATATTCTACAAAGTGCAATAGAATAGTTATTTTAGTTTGGAGAGTCCCCAGAACTCTGGAACTAGGAGGGTTTTTTAAATTGTTTCTTCCTATATGCATAATAATACAGTACAAGGTTATTATTACACATCACTGAAAGACTTGTAGTACCTCATCACAATCCAGGATTTGCATTAAGTCAATGGTGAGGGAGGAGAGCAAAGCAGGTTTTAAAATGACAGAATTAAGCAGGATTAAGAGAAAAACAGAGCAACCGTGAGAGGCTGGGAGGGCTGAAGAAGGAGAAGGAGAAGGAGAAGGAGAATTTATTATTTCTACTCTGCCCATCTGACTGGGTTTCCCCAGCCACTCTGGGCAGCTTTAAACAGAACATTAAAAACAGAATAAAACATCAAACATTAAAAACTTACCTAAACAGGGCTGCCTTCAGATGTCTTCTAAAAGTCAGATAGTTGTTTACAGTGGTGCCTCACAAGACGAAATTAATTCGTTCCGCGAGTTTTGTCGTCTTGCGATTTTTTCCGTCTTGCAAAGCACGGTGTCGGGAAAGTTTTGGAAAAGCTTCAAAAATCACCAAAGTCTTTAAAAACCTCAAAAAAGGCTACCACACCGCGTTCTATGAGTTGCTCCTCGAAGTTAAGTCGCAACTGTATTAACGGTGTTAAGAAAAAGGAAACAATCTTGCGAAGCAGCTCAAAAAACAAAAAACCCTTTCGTCTAGCGAGTTTTTTGTCTTGCGAGGCATTCGTCTTGCAAGGTACCACTGTATTTCCTTGACATCTGATGAGAGGGCGTTCCACAGGGTGGGCGCCACTACCGAGAAGGCCCTCTGCCTGATTCCCTGTAACCTCACAGTGAGGGAACTGCCAGAAGGCCCTCGGAGCTGGACCTCAGTGTCCAGGCAGAACGATGGGGGTGGAGATGCTCCTTCAGGTATACTTTAGGTAAAGACACTCCTTCAGGTAAAGAGATACTGTAGAGGTTTGGGTGAGAGGTTGGCAAGGTGCGTGGGGGGGGTATGTAGGGCTGGCAAGCAACTAGAGTAGGGCATGATAATAATCATTCATCTGATGAGGTGTCCTCTCTAGTTCACCAAAGCTTTGTGACAATAAACCTGTTGTAGCTTATTCCTATGTATGTCTGCTCAGAATGTCCATTTAATTCAAGGGGACTTGCTGCCAGGTAAGCCTTCATCAGCTATTCTAAACATCTTGCCTAGGAGTAAGTTCTGTTGACTCACTGGGGATTACTTCTGAGTAGACGCTAGTAGGACTGCACTGCAAGTCTTAAGGTGTCACAAGAGATATATTAAGGGGCATTTTAAAAATAAAGGAATATATCCAATTCATAGTAGAACCACTCAAAAAAATGGAATTATGCTCATTAATTTTAGTGCATCCACATTATGACAACCACTGAATTGAACTCAACATGTTGTTTTTTAAAATATATAAATTGCTTAGTTTCTTTTTCTTTATGATGCTAAGAGGTATAAAAACATAGGAAAATTACATCCAGCTAAGTAGATCCCACTGAAATTAATGGAGCAAAGTTAGATATGTCCATTAATTTAAATAAGTCTACTCTTAGTAGAAGTAATGTGAATGCAATATGTTCTAGTGAATAATTGTAATATATTTTAACTGTTTTTAATTCTGAATTTTAAATTGTTGGAACCTGCCTTGGAAGAGTGTAATACATTTAATACTAAATACTAATATTAATGGTATAATTAATAGCTACAACCCAATGGTTCTACCCTCAGTAGGATTAGTCTAGGTCATATTGTATAGGTGGCTCGTTATTTATAAAGGCTTGCATTTAATGCTCGGCCTCCTCAGGGTAGACCCACTGGAACTAAGACCTAAGCTACTCCTAGTCCCTCAGTTTCAGTGGGCCTACTCTATATAGGACTAATTTAGGTCCTATTGATTTCTGAGTGGTGTGCACCTCTTTGTTTATTGTGGCTTGCATTTGATACTAGTCCTCCACAGACAGACCCTTTCTAATTAATTAAGGCCTAAGCTTGCCATAGCCCTTATTGTCAGCGGGTCTACTCTTGAGTAGGACTAACACCGGCGCCCACCTCCCCTTCTCCTCCCGCCCAATTAGGCAGGCCAGCCTCCCTGGGGCACCTCCTCCTCCTCCTCTCCCTTGATTTATATCTTCACATTCCCCTTCGCCGGGCGGAGTCTCTGCCCGCCGCGAATGGAGCTGGCTGGTGCTGGGCTGCTCGCCAGTGGCTCCGCGAGTCCTGCGAGTGGGAGAAGGGAACAGAAGAGGAGGCGGAGGAGGCGGCGGCGGCGGAGGCTCCTGTTCGGCCTTCACCATGTCGAGTCTCCACAAGAGCAGGTGGGGCGCCCGCGGGACTAATGGTGGCAATAGCGGCCGTTATTGTAAATTGGGGTGGCAGGACTTGCAGTGGGCACAAGCGTGGGCAAATGTGTGCTTGTTTGTTTCGTGTCTTTTCTTCCTTCCCCCTCCACCCCCGCCGCTTTCTCCCTTTTGAGGAAGGGTGTTTGCTTAGACTAGGAAACGTTTTCTCCTCCCCACTTTTTTTTGCATGCAAATTGCAAGGGGTGATCTTGATATATTAATGTGTGTTAATGAATTGAAGGCGAGAGGTTTGCAATGGGCAAATGTTTGTGTTTTCCTCTTTTTGGGGAGGGGAAGGGGTTGCATTTAGAAAGCCAGTCCTCCTTCCCTTTTAAAGGAAATATATATTTTAAACTAATAAATAATAATTCGTTTTTTGCAAGAAGTCTGTAAGGGGTGAGTTTGATATTTATTGATATTTAATACGTATTAATGAACCGGGAAATGAGATTTGCAATGGGCAAATGTTTTGGGGTTCCCCACTTGGCGGCGGGGGATGTATGTGTGTGTTTGCTTAGACAGTTTTCAGCACAGCACGATAAAAAAAATTAAAGCATTCTATTCATTTGTTTTCTCTTAGAGAAAAACCTATCCCCCCCACCTTTTGGCATGCATTTTGTAAATGAGAACTTATTTATAAATAAATTGGGAAGGGAGACGTTTGTAATGGGCAGTGCAAACGTTAATGGCTTTCCCTCCTTTTTTGAAAGGGTACTGTTTGCTAGAGCCACCCTACTGTTTTGGAAGAAGCCTCCCCCTTTCTCTCTTGCATTGCATTTTATTATTTATCAAATGTTTATTTATTATTCAATCTTATGTTCTGCCCTTCACCCCAAAGGAGCCCAAGGGCTGCAATGGATAAGCTTTATTTATTGCTATTTAGTAGATACTGATATTATTTATCAGATTTGAGAAGGTGAGGTTTGCAGTGGCAAGTTTCTGTAAACGTTATTGCTTTTCCTTTTTGGTGTGTGTTTGCTTGCAGCAGTTCTCAACCTGTAGGTCACCAGATGTTGCTAGCTAGGGGTGATGGGAGTTGTAGTTCAACAACATCTGGCGACCCACAGGTTGAGAAAGGCTGGTAGAGAGTCATCCCCCACGCCACACAAAAAACCCCTCTTTTTTTCTTTTCCTTTTGCATGTATTTTTTAAGTGTGATGCTTATTGATATT